CTTCACTCCGGCACTGAAGCCTCGCCTGCATGTTTTCGAGTCGCGAGATTCCAACCCCCCGAACCTATAGGACCTACAATCCCGATCCACCATTTGAAAGGGTCAAACTTGAAGGCCTTGGGAACGATGCCTTTGTTGTTTAACTAACGGTTTTTTCGTTCAGAAGGGTTTGGGGTGCAGGGTTTACGGGTGTAGGGGTTTTACGGTGTGAGGGGCGTGGCAGGGTGCGGGGTCTGCCGACACTCAGAGCCCAACTGCACCTCCCGGTGGGGTGTTCTTTTTTTTCTCCGGTGATGTGTGCTAATTACGGTCAAAGGAGTCTGCCTCGGAGTTCGAAGCGTGACAGATACGGGTCATAGCGACAGTAAGTCTGGAAGAAGTTTTCGTCGAGTCATCAGAGTGGCGGGCACGGGGTAGGGCTCACGGAGTTTGTCTCAGCGCATCCGTGGAGATGGGGGTTTGCAGACGTAGCACAGACTTTCGGGCTCAAGGGGGTGTTACTCTTGGACCTGTTCGGTTTTGCAGCTCCCACCGATCCCTCCACAGTCGAACCTAAGACCTGGGGCTACAGGCGGCAGTGCTTCTTCACCGCGCGCTGGACGAGGACGCACAGCATCCGCTTTCATGCCTCTGTCACTGTGCTCTTTGAGGCTGTAGTGTGCGTGTGTGTGTGTGTGACGTGCATGCTTTCGTCTGTTTGACGCGTAAGATTGACCGTAGTAGTCATAAATCTTTACAGAGCTTCCGATTCTGCCTTGGCCTTCATCTTGTAGACTTTGCACAGGAACGCCGTGCCTTGGGTGAGGATGCGGTGCAGGCAGCATGACGTACTGCCAGCTGGATCCACCTCGTGATTACGCCGTCTTGTGTCTGGCAGCACCTTGTGCACATAGTCGTCACTGCCTTATGTGACCGTCCTACTGTATGGCTTCCTGTCAGCAGCACTTCAAAATCATCCGAGACTATGCCTCCGCAACCATTTATCATTTATGCTGGCTCAGAGCTCTTGGCATATAGAAGCCAAGCGCACTGAACCTGCAGCCGTCGACTGTTCGTGGAGGCTGCAACAGGTTTGTCCCCTTTGTCGAGGTTTGGATTACAGGGTACGGACGTAAAGATCAGGCTGTTGTGGATCCTACGCCGTCACAGACACAAGAAAGGCGGCTCCAACTTGAAATGAAAACATCGGCCCTCTTGCAATCGCAGGTTGCCATGATACTTGGGCTTTCGGGGCTGACGTTTTAAAGATCCTTCGGCCCCAGCCGATCGCCGCCTCACTTGTGGGGCTCATGGCTGCGGCAGCTGCATCGGCGGTGACAGGGGCAAGTGTGGCGGCAGCCGCAGCCGCGAAGAGTGCCTGGATATCAGCGTTCACATTGTTCAGGGTTCTGGGTTTAGCTCTCGTTTCAGGCACATGCAGAGGTTTAGCGACGGGTGGTTTTGATCCAGGGCGCATGTCATGCGTCAGCGGGGCTTCTTCATCGTCTTCTGCCAGATTTGCGCAGGGCCACTATGGTAATTATGTTATAGTATGATAGTCTATTCTATAGTATATGGTATCGAGAATTGAGATGGAGGGCCGAAGCAATGATCCATCCCTTTTCGACGGGACGTCCGAAAACCACGGACCCCTTTCAAGGACCGTTGCTAGAATTGCTAGACACTTGAAGCCTGAGAAATTCGATGTATACTTGCTTTACATGTCATGTACCATTCTTTCAGTCGTTTCTTCTCCGCAAGGATCACGTCAGTCCTTGTTTAAACTCACGCAGGGTGGGAGGGCATGCTTCTCGATTGGGTCTCGAGATTTCATGGGCTTGTGTACACGGCCGTGGCACTCCATAGTGCGGCTCTCTAGGGTGTAGTCGGCTAGAGCTCGGAGCTCGGTTTGTTGAGAAGCTGGCGCAAAGAGCACGGTGAAGTTCTTTTCGGCCGCCGAAAATTCACAGAATTGACGACAGCCTTGTGTCTACCAGCCTGAACGCCGACGTCAGCTTGTGCTCCACCTGAGCCCCAAGCAAGGCAAGGACAGCGCGGTCGTGGCAGCCGCAGCTGCAGCTGGGGGCTTTGGCGGCTACATGCTGCGCCCTGCTCGCAGAGTAGACCACCAGGGTTGAACATGTCGATTGGGCCCCCTAAACAACAGGTGACAACACTGGAGAGTCAATAATGTGAGTCTGAGTTTCGCCTAGATGTACAACGACTTTCATAAAGACGGCGAGAGTTCAGATAGAGAGCTGGTATGCAGGATGATGCGGGTCGCAACGAGCTCTGGATTGGGTGTGACGACTTTGACATGATGTAGAGCTCAGTCGGAATCCAGACTTCCTCATGATCAGGGGAGTTCGAGCTCATTGAGTTGCTTTGCCTGGCTCGCAGCACGTCTTAACCTGGTCTGGTCCAACACCCTAGACTCTAGACCTTGAAATCCTTGTTCACCATGTGGGACCGACGATGCCATAATGTAGGACCCGTTTTACTATGCCCGCAAGTGCAAGCTTTTTTGCAACACTCCATCTGTAGACAAGACCTCTTATCAATAGAACAAAGGAAGCATCTCTGACCCTCGCACCAGGTGGTATCTCATCCAGGGAAAGCGGGAGAATTCGATGTCACCGGACAGCGGCCTGCGCGCCGTTGAGGCCGCGTTCGGGGTTGAGGCGTTTCCTTTTCCCGACCGAGAAACAGATAAAGCAAATGCTGTGACGAAGCTGCCAAACCCTAATCAATGTCTCACACAGCCCGAAATTCGTTTCAGATGCGACGGTGGGGGGGGGGGGAATGGGGTCGTGGCAAGAAGTCCGGCGGCCGCCTTTCGGACCTGTCGGGTCAGGGCCCCCTCGACCCTGTCCCAACTGCCGAAGTCTACCCGCCCAAAACTCCCGAAACCCCAAAATACATAGAGTTATCTTGGGATTGAAACTGTTTGATAAGTACAGCAACGTCGCTTCTCCTGCTCCCGAAGTTGCCTAAAGCTTTCAAGCCGGAAGCTTCAAAACGGGGACGAGGAGACAGTTCCTGATTCAAAGCCCCGAACCCCAAATCTTGCAATCCTTAAGGCCTAAAGTTCCTAAAGTACTCATAAGCCCAACGAAACCCTAGACCCGTATATAAACCCTAAAGCATATCCTTCGAGCCATCGCAGCAAGTTCGAGGCCACTCTGCGCCCTGAGGAAATCGCATATGGCAAGGAGCTCTTGGGTTTAGTTTTAGGGTTTAGGGGTTTAGGGGTTTGGGGTTTATAGGGGCTTAGGGTTTAGGGGTTTCCGGGTTTAGGGCTTAGGGTGCAGGGTTTAATGAGGGTTCAGGGTATGGGGGTTGTTGTGAGCTAGGGTGCCTTGTAAGCCATGAGGTTGCTGGCGTACGAAGGCGAGCTGACGCGAGCTTTCTTCACAAGCTGATTTCTGTGTCGCTGGTTGTCATTCTGTGACTGTGTGGCATGCTCCGATCGGTCACGTGGGTTCCATCTTGTCAAGTTATGCCGTAGGAGTCGCCTGCATTCAGATCTGGCGAGTGGAATCAGCATGGGAGACGCAGAATGTCTCATCGATTGCAGAGACGCGAAACCCTGACGCGAAACCGTCACTTCCTGATTTTCCCAGGTAGGATGCTGGACGTAAATGTCAGCATGACCTCAGAAGGTGTCAAGCGACATGTCGGTCAAGCTTTTGGTGTGCCCAACATGGCAATCAACAGAACTGATGCTGGAGGCCACGCTCTGGAAGAATGTGTTAGCAGGAATAGTGCTAGATGTGCGTCGTCCTTCTGGTCGTCGTCGCAGTCGTAACGGTGGTAGTAGTGTTAGTAGTGGAGCCAGTGGTGGGGTGCTGCTTGTTGCTGCAGCAGTAGTAGCAGCACAGTAGCAGCCGCAGTTTTGAAATTCTGAACGTTAAAGCAGTGAGCCAGAGTAAGACGAATCAGTCTAAACTGTCACATCAACCACGCCGATCAATAAATAATTCCATCCGCAGCTGGTAGGCCCGAATTAGTTCATCGAGTTCTCCTGGTTGTTGTCTCGAAGAGTTGTTGGATGTTGCGTTGCGGCAGAGCCTTGAAGCCCTGCCAAAATAAAAAGGCTTGTAAGCTCTATATCATAAACCCTAAACCCAAAGTTTAACTGTAGAGAAACGGAGCCTTCCCGCAGGAGGTGGAGAAGTGGACCATAGAGCTAGCAGGAGGAAAATCGGCCGTGAGTCCAGCTCCCTGGCGAGAAAGAGCACGAGGGTGTATTCTTAAGGTTCAGGGTTTCGGGTGCTATGCAGGTGCATCGGGGTTTCGCTTTTTTTTTTTAATGGACTTCTGGCAGTGCTCTCAGGTGCTCCTCTTGGCAGCGAAGGCTCACAAGATCGAGCTGCTTTGGCTCATAGGGTTTTGGGTTTATAAGGCTTATAGGGTTGATAGGGCTTTGGGGTTTAGGGCTGCTTTGGCTTTTTGATGTTAGATGATTTTGGGGTCTAGGGTTTATAGGGCTCTAGGGTTTAGGGTTCATAGGGCTTTAGGGTTAAGTGTGTGAGGCTTATAGAGTTTAAGTATCTAGATTTGGGATATCTTGCTGAGGGACAGCAGAAAGAGAAACACTAGGTCATGCTATGACCTGTGCAAGTTCTGCCACCGTCAGGTCTACTGAACCCTAAACCCTAAACACCACATAGACTCATAGAGCTTCAGGGTCCGACGCTTTAGGGCACCTGAGGCGCTTCTGCTAGTGCGCAGGGCACACTTTCGAGCAACACCGAGTCCTGTTCTCCATTTCTGTGTGCGGCCGGGAAATCGAAGTCAGGGTAATATGTGAATGACATCGAAGACTTTGACGCTTCCGGACTGGATGATTCGCGCTCCGGCCAGAGTGCCGTGCGTATTTGCCCGAATTCCCAAACGTGACATTGAGAAAGATTCCGGAATCCTTGTCTCCCCAAGGCAACCTTGGCCCTGAACACGGACCGCCCAAGCTACCGAACTCGGAGCTAAAGACCTGGCAATTCTACCACGTGCTAAGGAAGGCCACTGTGCGCCGCAGTCAGTTTCCTGGATCCGAGGTGGAGCATTAAAGCTTGAGAGCCCCGCTGATAGGCCTTCAGCTTTACCACGGGACTTTGGGCTTAAGGTTTACGGGTTTCAGTTGGAGCTTGACATGTATTGTGCTCATCTACGGTCGTTGTGACCTAGTGGTGTTTGTCAGTATTAAGTATGAAGGTTTCTGCTTGACTCGAGATCATGAACATGAAGCCATATATGTCAAAATGTCTTACATCGATCTGCATAGTATTTACATTACGTCGTTCAGGACATACTTGAGTGTGGGCAGTTAGCGGTGTTGCAGTAGCGGGTGTAGCAGTTTTGTGACTATGGTTCTGTCGTCGTGTTTGCGCCTGTGTGGCACGCGTGTTGTTTATAAATTTCTAGAACATGTCCCGAAATCGGTCCCTGTTCGCAAGACAAGGGGCGACTGGTCCACTTGCCTTTGCTAAGTGCCTACACATTCTTCAGGAGGGGCACTCACAGTGGAAGGCAGCTTTGAAGCAGCAGCAGGTCCGAGGGGCGGGGTGGCTTTTGCACAGCCTGCACAGTCAAAAGAACTAGTAAGTGTATCCCTCGGGCTTCCCCCATAATGCGTGTAGTATACATGTATGTACACACACACACACATATATATATATATTAATGTATACTTCTATTTATGACCCCTGCAGCACTTGTCTAACTATCTAAACTTCAATATTAAACCATATTATACCCTGTCACACCACGAAATGTCGTCGTTTTCCTCAACTCTGACACACTTTTCAGCTTGAACTGTTCGAAGGGTTTGTTTGGTATTCGGGCCTTGTCAAGTGTGGAGTCCTGTGGATATAGACGAACAGGTCCCTGCCCCAGTTCTCCATAGGACTAAAGGTCTCGCCTCTTGCAGAAAGGTCACAGCTTTAGCATATTTTGGCTTACACTTGCCCAAAGCCCTGAACGAGTAGTCCTTGTTCTTGTTCTTGTGATTGTTGTGCTGGACATTGGATCCCAACATGTCGCAGCAATTGTTGTGAGCCGGGGTTTCGATTCAGTCGTTGGGGCTTTGTGCTTACTAGGATTTACAGGGTTCAGGGTTTCAGGTGGTGTTGCTCCGAAGCAGGCCCATACCTAACAATTGCCTTTGGACAGACGCCCTGAAGGCCCAAAACACCCAGCTGCTGGAGCCCGAACCCTGAGATTCTTCAGGGCTTCTTTCATTCTGCCGGGCCTCAACCCTGAACCCAGGACGCCCGAAAAGCCCCAAACCTCCGAATCCTCAGCCCCTGAAGCTTTAAGTCCTGTAAAGAGCTCTGCAGAGTTCGGCTTATGGGATCCTTAAGGGAGGGGATTCTAAGAGGGGTCTAGAACCCAATAATCCCCAATTCTCCCTAGGGCTCCCTTAGGTTCCCTAAAGCTCCCTAAGGATTCCTAGGACCCTCCCCGCTTGAACCACCCTCCCTTAAGGATCCGATTATCTGCAAAAAACTCCGCAAACTTACGAAAAGACGAGATACAGCGCCCACGAGGAGATGCGAGTCAAGCCTATCCTGGCAAAAGCTGGTTGGGGATCGGAGGCCATCGCGCGGGTCACAACGCTGCCGCTGGCTTGAACAAATAGCCGTGATGGCCATGGCTTGCTTGTAGCCCTAGAAGTCCTGCCCGTTGTGGGCTTCAGTTTTTAACATTTAACGTTCCGTTCCTCATACGATCATTGATGTGCCCAGTTAATTGAAAAAGTGAACACATGTGATTATTACCATGCTTGCTTGTTGGTTTGCTCGCTGCTTGGCCGCCGTCAGCATTGCTGGTGAATGTCGATCCCCGACTTCGCTCAAGCTTACGATGAGAGGAGGACCTTGAAGCCCTGTAGCTTTCCTACGCCCTAGACCCCGAACCCCACGGCCTAAACTCCGAGGCCTAGACTAGAATGGTTTGTGCGCAGGGATGACATGCACAATTCGAGCAGTGTAAGTTTTACACCCTGCAAAGGCACCTTAGACCCTAAGTCTTAAGCCTAGACCCTAAACTAAACCCTAAACCGCTGCACATGTGTAAGTAGAGGCATCAAAAGCGGCGTTTTTCGAACCCGAGGTTGTCCATGGACGGATCTCGTGAGGACAAAGACATGCAGGCACTGCCTCTGGAACACAGGACTTACATAAGGGCTCCTGCATGGGTTCCTCTACGGGCTCTGTAAGAGTTTTAATTAAAGGCTTAGGACCTATAGGACTTACTGTTTTGGGTCTTCTGCACTTGTCGGAGCGGGGCGGTTACAGTTCTGTGAGTAACTTCAGCAGGGGTCCATTGAGTAAGGATCCCACAGTCAGTCAATGTAAGTTCATATCGGGTCCGTACTTTGTCAGCCTCGCTCAACATCTTTCTGCCCTACCTTGGGCTTTGCCGCCTGTGCTGTCGTGCCAGTTTTGTTCGCCCTCTAGTCTGCGGGCCTGCAGCCTAATACTAAGCTTGTTCGGCAGACTCGTTGCATCGCAGCCTTGTGACCTATATAGTGCAGGTACTTGAGGATGCGACTTGCCTGGTGTTCTTGCAAACGGATCTACCGTCTATGACACTTGGCGATCGCTTGTGACGCATGCTTCGCTCTAAATGCCGGTAGCCATGATTTAGGCCTCTGGTCCTGCCTGTTTCCTCTAGGCTTCCTACATAAACCCGGACCCCAGATCCCAACAGGTCAATAGTCTCGTACTGCAATCCCTGTGCGGTAAGACCCCTCTGACCCGCTCCTTTTCCAGATCCGACTGGCGGATCTCTCCTGAAAAACCGCTGCCTCAAAAGCTGTCCAACATGTTACTAGGCAGCTGGCAGGCGAAATACAGATGCCCCATGTATTGGCAATAGTGTCCCCTTCTGTCTCTCTACACCGGTACGATGACCGACCCCAAAACCCTATTCTCATTGTTGAGGCCCCGATACTGTTCGAATTGTGCTATGTCTTATGTCTTCCATCGCTTCAAGCTATGTTTCAAGTTTCGAGCTCAAGACTTCTGGCTGAGGTTTCACACGTCTGGGTTTGAGGTTGTCTGGCTTTGAGTTGTTGAGGCCGAGGTTGCGTTGGTTACGTGTTCATGCTGATGGAGAAGTGGCGGCAGGCTTGGGGACTGATGGCTGACGAGAGGATGAGGTTCCAGCGCTACAGGAGTTCTGTGCTTCCAAAGCCTGAGTTGGAGTCTTAAATGCTCCATGTCGTTCTGTCCTTCTTCATCGGGGAGGTGGGTGGGAGGAACCCTTGTTCAATCAGTCGAGTGTAAGGCTTCGGGTTCAACAACCATGCACTGAGTTAGTCCCCCTCTAAGACTCTAAGTCAAATTTCGAATCATAGGCTTAAAGCTCATGTGCCATCAGCCCTGGCAGCCATGGGCAATTTAGTCAGCCTCTCTTATCCCAAAGTGCACGATATGCCTGTTCGGCCAAGAGTTCCTCATGTTGTCTCCATTGCATGGCCCTCAACCCTCAATAGTGCCCTACATAACCTGCCTTTGTAGGGCTCCCCTTCTTATATATGAGTTCCTTGTATAACTCGTTTTGGCCTGAAACCCAGAAGTCCCCCCAAAGCCTTGGCCTCGAGTGCTCCCTGAGCTGAGGAAGATCGAAGATCACGGAAAGCTCGTGGATCTCCTGCACAAGACATGGGTAGCTGGCCTTGGATAGAGCCGCAAATATGCTCGCGTCGGAACCCGAAATGCCCTAAGCCTCAAAGCAGATAGGCTCGTGCCGTAGTGAAGGCAGACTCCCATGCAAGGTTTCAGGTTAGCAGAGAGAGAGAGAGAAGACAAAAAGGAGAGAGTACATAATATATATATATATAGAGATAGAGAGAGAGAGAGAGAGAGACACACACACACACATACAGACAGACAGGCACACCGAACTACTGTGAGTACACGCAGGTCCCTGGACAGAAAGACAGATACAGACAAACGGAGACAGACAAGGACAGCCAGGAGACAGACCACAGACGGACAGTTTAACAGGACCGACGTTACCTCCATGCGCGCTCACAATCTTGCCGCTGCTTCGGAAACACTCACTGGCAGAAACGGGCTGCTCTGAAAAGCATGGTTCCGCACAGGTGAAGATGAGCCCGTGTGCGCGAAGCAAAGCCATCCACCTCGAGTATGATGCACCAATGCTGCACTGCTTGATCGAAGCCATCGCACGTGACTCTACCCCATCTTCGCCACAGACACCGATGCTTGGGCCGTCTTTGTAAAGTGCTGTAACAGTGATTGGGGAAGGATGTTGCGTTGACAACCTTCGGTGTTGCAAATGTCGTTGTGGTCGAGCAGCCGAGGATGGTGGCCCCACGTTTTACAAAGGCTTGCGCCGACCTCCTGCGCAAGAGTTGGAGCGAGTTGCCGGAGACATTTACCAAGGAGGTTTTCGAACGCGTCCTAGCAGAGGACAAGGAGGTATATGAGCTCCTGTCCCATCCAGTCGTCAAGGAGTTCCAGAACATGCGCAAGGTGATTAGTAGGTTTTTGGGGCTTCTGGAGCCAGAAGCCACTTTGACGAAATTCAGCATGCTTTGTGACTTTGTGATTCGTTTCTCTTCTCTGCACAAGTTTCTGAGCGCAATTGCAACCTCAACACAGAAAAAGAAGACAGCTCGCAGCAGTCAAAGAGCCTATTACCCTGCGTAGCCGCCTACACTCTGAGCCCGAAATCCCAAGCCCTAAACTAAACACTAAACCTGTCCTGTTTCCCTGCAGCCACCGAGGCCATGCCACAATTCGAGAAACTGGCCCATGCTTTGGCTGTGGCTGGGTGAAATCAACTATCTCTCTCTCTCTCTCTATATATATATATATACATATAGAGCGAGAGAGAGATGCACGTCCGTTTTCATCTGTATTGATGTTGCTACATGCACACACACACACAGAGACACATACGTATATACATACTCATGTACTGATGTATAAACAGATATCATTAGTATGTATCATATATCTTATAAGTACATTCCTGTTAAAAACGTTCGTACACACAAATGTGGGTGTGTGTACATAAATACATATATGCATGGTCGCATGTTTCTGTAGACGGCTATACATATACATATCTCGCTCTCTCTCTCTCTCCCTCCCTCTGTGTCTTATACTGGTGCCTCACATTTGACTTCCATTGAAATTAAGCACCCAGGTGGCCGGTCATTGTGGAGGATTGCGGCTGTCGCACATCGCAGCCATGAAGAGAGCCGTGGTCCGTGTGGTCACGAGCAGCTGGACTGAATGCAGCTGAATGCAGGGTTTAGGGTTTGGTTTGCATGCAAGACACAGCTGCAACTCGCTACAATGGCTAAAGTGGCTAGAGCGTAGAGCCAGCAACATTGTCCAACAACAGTGCTGTGACTACCCACTTCCACCACCGGTTCATTTGCACGTGCCATCAGTCTCGTGGGCACAATACAGCACTGATCGGTGTCTTCGGCGTCCCTGCGTGTAGGTTGGGACCATTACATAAGGCACACCGAGCCTTTAGGATCCCCCACACGGTCCCACTGTACCCTGCATCTTGTAGGCTCTAAGGCCATACGTTCCATACTCAGACTCAATGCCTCGAGCCCGATGCCCCAAACCTGATATACCCGAACACCCACCCATGAAACCCGTCATTCTGAATCCTGAATCCGGAACCCTGTAAATCCCTCTACCCGAAATCCAAAAACCTGATACGATGAAGAGACGCACTGCTTGGAACCCTGGACAACCTATCTTCCTGAAACCCTATACGCATTGGGACGCTTCAGAGGCAATGCCTCCAAGCAGCAGCGCGAGTCTGTGAATCGGGCCTGGGAAGCATCTTGACTGTGAAGGTTCGTTCGGATTGGATACGGGCTCTGTCCTACGAATGTTTCCAAGCCACGGCATCGTTTACTTGTAGCTTGTCAAAATTTTGGGCACAAAGTACCTGGTTGCTAAACTGTTGCAGGGACTGTCTGGGAACTGCATAAAACTACAGTAGTCTGGGCCGCTACGGCAGCCTGTGGCCAAAGCCCCCGCAGGAAGCCATTTTACTTATTCGGAGTTGCGCTCAGGTCGTTGGATTCAAGATAACAGCACTTGCCTTAAGATCCCAATAAACCATAAACCCTCAACCCTCAACCCCAAACGACACTGGCTGAACAGTATGAAAAATTTATGTGTATGTACATAAAAAAAAAATATATATATATATACACATACCTTAATAAGGCCTTCTTCTATGCCTTGGGAGCCGTGGTCGCCCCGCATTTGATGAGCCAAGATCGACTGGAGGAGCTTTGGGGGCATTCCGGGTTTCCTTTAAGGAGCCCATGTGGGGGTGACCATAAGCGCCTTAGGGTTCCTTAAAGGGTTCATGTTAAGGGAACTTTCAGGCCTACTACAATGGCATCCTACTATAAGGGTACTACAATGGCATCTCTAAGGGTTAGTAGAAGGGTACTTTAGGGTTTAAGGTTTAGGGTTTAGGGTTAAGCCGTCGGGCAGAGTCTGGGTTCAAAAAAGGGTTAAGCCGTCGGGTTACAGGGTTTAGGATTTGAGGTGTTTTTAGGCCCCTCGCATGGTTCGCAGCAGAGGTTTTTGCGGGCTGGAAGCAAAGAAGAGGTTTTCGGCTTTTAATTTAAAGTTGCAGACGGTCGTCTTTTTGATAAACTTTACCTTCGCGCACCCATGAACTTCAGTGCTAAAAATGTCAACCTTGTCCCGACATATTTGCTGCGCAAAGCCTAAGTCCTAAGCCCTTCATCATATTAAACCCTTGTAGTAAATCCTGAAAGTACCCAAGCAACCCATATAGTAACCCTCATACAGACCCCTTATAGAACCTACAAAGCTCGAAGCACCTGCAAGGAGATCGCTGCTGCAACGTCCACGGCTCTACCCGTCCCCGGAGGTGGGAGAACCGTCCAACCCTCTGAATATAGAAGCCTACATAATCACGAGTCCTGCTTAGTGTGGGGGCCGCAAGATCCCCATAAGGGAAAGCTTGGAACTTTTGTTAGGCTCCTCAAATTTGTGTTTTTGGTACATGCAGTAGGCATCGATACTCAAGAACAGGACTTATGTCCGGCCTTAGTGGATGATAGAGGTACCCATTAATGAAAACCGTGTCCGGCCCAGAGCCATGTTGTGACGCACCCGAACAATTGCTACCAATACTAACACTATTGAATTGACGGACTACCTACCGTGTAGACAATCGGGGCTGGTATGCTGGAGCAAAACAAAAACAACTCAATTCCCCAGACTTTTCCGGAGCCCGCCCCCGGGTGCAACATTACTCAGTCACTTGTTGTTGCTTTGGGCGTGGCCCAGACTAACGAGGACCTCACTTTGAATAGGATTCAGGGTTGAACGGTTTGGGATTTGGGCTTTTCAGGGTTCGGTGCAGTTCAGGGGCCTGAGGGGATGTAAGGGGTTGTGGAGTGATTTTGAAGTAGATGTCAGGGATGTATGGAGGATCGCTACTCCCCAGCTTTGTGTGTACATCTTTCACGAAATCATCGGAAAGCTCTCAGGTGGCCCCCATGCGGCCATCGCTGCTGTGTGGCTGGAGCTGAATATGGGCCGGGGCACCACCGGGGAACGGGGACAGTGAAGGAGGGAGGGCCAGGATTTCAGACTCGCGCCGAGGATTTCAGAGTCATTCCCTGTTAGAGTCTTTAGGCTTTAGAGTTTAGAGAGTTGAGTATCTTGCGTGCTTAATTTGGAACCGTGCATTCGGGCGTCGGGATGCGTTGATTCGAATTGTGGTTCGATGCCGGGCATCTGCAGCCTGCAGCTGTGAGAACTTTTGCTGTTGTTTAGTCGTTGACTCAGTTTTCCATGCCCGCATCCACTAAAATGCGGCCTGCCGAATCCTCATTTTAGATCATCTGTGCGCCGAACAAGCTGAACCATGAACCCCTGAACCGTATACGGTTAGCGTGACCCAATATTTGCATAAGCTCGAGTTTTGGCGGATGTCGTTTGTGAACTTAGTTAATTTGCAAGCCGCTTAGCGACCTTTTATGCCAGGGCTCCTTTAATTTGGGTTGTTACACATGGGTGCCAAAGAAGTGCGTGGCGAGGGTGTTCCCATGTCGTGGCCGGTTCAAGATGTTGGAAGTACGGCTTGCGGCTTTGTTTTTGTTTTGTCCATGCTTTCGTGCAGCGGCATCACTCTCTCGAGTCTCCAGAAGCGGTAGATATGAATGTATGGTCGTACAGTACAGAAGTGCTGTGAAGATCTTTTCGAATCGCATTCATAGGTTGGCCGGACAATATCGAAAGCCTCACTGCCTGTCAGGTCCCTGCCGTAACCAGGCTCAGACGTTGCACATGCTTCAACAAAACACAACTCACGCCTTTGACTGAAGATGTGATGTGTATGCCCAAGCGACCCGTTGCCACAGCGAAGCTTCGCGAATTGCCAAGTCCCGAATAATAGCGGCATTTCCTCAAGGTGCACCAGCACCCCGCTGCTGACCCACTCCGACAGTTATCACTTGACCCCAAGACGAAAATGCACTCGGCAAGGAACGGCGTCGCTTTGCTAGAAGCTCGGCTATTGAGAATGTTTGCTGGACGGTTCTGCATCGATTCAGTCCTCTGCAATGTTTGACTTCCTGTAGCATCGAGCTTGGCTGCAGGCGATCCCCGTGAGATGCGAGAATGCTTGCCTAGAGTGTCAATGCTGGTCACAGAGCTCACATGAGCTCGGGCAAACAGCTATGTCAGGTTGAGGTGCTCAGCAAAAGATGCTACTCACCCTAAGACTCTAAGCCGAACCAAAGCGGAAAGTAAGCAAAGGAGATGAGCCTGAACATCTCGGCTCTTCGTCCCGGAAGCAATGCGCCCCCAGAAGAGGCCTCTTCAGAGTTGTGTTTGCGCTGCCGGCAGAGGGGCGGGGGGTCTTTAAATTTCTTTAACCTGCAAAGAGTGGGTATCCAGACACAGAGTTTAGGGTTTAGGGTGACAGAGACAGAGGCCTAAACCCTAAACCCAAAACCCCTAAGCCCTAAACCGAGTATTTAGACAAGCTGAGGCCGAAGCCCGCGGTCTGAACCCACAACCCTACTCCCGCAAAGCTGGGACGAGAGAGAGTGTTTAGATATGTGTACTCCAATCCAAGGCCCCACAGTAACCCTAAGCCGGGACTTTGAAGACTAAGCCGTAAACGCCCACAACAGCCTTTACCTTCTCCCAGAAACCTTTTCTCCGCCTCGCAATGTAGGCCACTCAAGTCACGGTAAGCCCATAAAAGTTAACAAAACAGAAGCTCTTCGCAAAGCTGATCAACTCCAAAACTATGCCCTAAACCCGAAACCCCGAAGTGTACCAAGTCGAAACCCTAAACCCCTAAACTCGAAAAGCCCCTTAAACTCCAAAACTATAGCCTTAAACCCTAAACCCTAAACCCGCCCCTTACAAAAGCTCGTCGAGGTGATGACCAAGCTACGGGAGGCACGGGGCTGGCTCCTGGATTGCATCCGCGAGGACCCTTGCTTTACGGTTTTATTAGGGTTTAGGGGCTCAGGAAAAGAGTTGAAGGGCTTTGCGCTAAAAGCTGTTCTGTTTAATCACAAAGGATTTCGTAGGTGTGTAAGGCTTGCTTAGCGTTTTGGCTTCTTGACTGGATCATGGGGCCTTGGGATGATTTCAAGATTTTGGGTGTAAGGTTTAAAGTGCAGGCTTTGAGATTGAGGTCCGATGCTGCGTGGAAAGTTTTCCCCTGAGCAGCCGACGCACGCATTAGCACATATCACTGTCACTGATCAGGCACAGCACGTTCGCCCTTCACCGCAGAAGCGTCCTTTGTCGTGCATCCGATGTTTCTTCCAGAGTCAGAGGTTGTCCCCGGAGTGCTGCAATGCGACATGACCTGTACTTAAACTGGCAACTAAACACCCCCGAGGAAGTAGCAGGATAACTCGGCAGGCGGTTTGGGTCCAGGGTTTATGTTGTCGGGCTCAGAGTCTCCAAATGCCCATTTCCTGAATCCACAAACCTAGACAGAGCCTGAGTGCCGAAACATCCCGAAAGGGCCAATCAGAAGTCCTCAGCATTGGATCCTAGATTTTAAGATCTTGAAAAACCCACGTAGCCTTGATGCCTGAGCCCTTAATTACATGACCCAGCAATGCAGGAGGTGAGGAGGGCGGTGCATGACACGACAGCCGGAAAAAACCCTGTACCCTTCAATGATGCAGTACGCTTGAAGCCGCCGCAGAAACCCCTGATGTCCACGCCTTACCGTGCGTCCCTAAGCCGGGAACT